ATTCTGTCACTCATTGTAATAGAATGATAAAACTTGTTAACGGAACAAAATTCGAGAAAAACGGATGTTGCTTTTTAAAAATCGGGAGGCAAAGTGTTACAAGAGTCATAGTTCGGGAAGAATTTTTAAAATTAATCCTAAAATTAAAACTTCTATTATCAATTCCCCCTTTTTCGCTTTTTAATATTCTTTAACAATAATTGAAGTGTATTTACATAATTACCGTATCATTATTCATTATATCATTTGGCAATATTTGAAAAGGAAAACAAAAACAAAACAAAAAAGACAAAAACAAAAAACAAAAATCTAGAGGAGGAGTATTCATGAGGATTTCATCCCTTGAAAAGGGCATAAAACCTCTCCATGACAAGCACCGCACCTTCCTTGCCTAATCATGTGCCTTTCATGCTCATCATCAGTTGGCTTAATTAGGTTATATTACCCTATCATTCTTTTCATGATGTTCTTTCGATATGTTATAGTATTATTTTCTATTTATTTAAATATTAATTAATACATTTGTCAACTCATGCTTTCGATACGCCATTAGTTAAGTTTTAACATTATTAATCTTTTCTTTAACTTGAGGCTGGCGTAGCCTGCAATACCCACAAAAAAAAAAAAAAAAGAAAAAAAAAGAAAGAAGAGAGCACACGAGGCTTTTGCCCATTCCACTCCATATGTAGTTGCGGCCTCCTCTAGCTAGCACTATTAATCATAAACATTAATATCTATAATTATATTTTATGCACAAGTAAACCTTAGTGCATCCCAAATATTCTATATACAATTATCTGTTTTTATTCTTCTCCATATGATGTCCACTAGCATTCCTTCCTGATGGGTTCCTAAATAATATGTTTTTATTATGGAAACGTGGTGACCTGCAAACGACATGTAATAGTACTACATATAAATTATTCATATTATCTTTTACGAGATTAGTAATTATATTATGGAGTTATTATTACTGGGTGTTTTATAGTTTTCTAATAAATTTCCCATCTTAATCAATTAACAGGAAAAGCTGTCTCTAACAAAAAAAAAAAAAAAAAAAAAAAAAAAAAAAAAAAAAAAACCAATAAAAATATAAGCCGTCCCAATACTAGATACCGAATCATGCGACATTCTAAGGAAAGTTTGTGTACAAAAAAGGAAGACCGAGAGAGATTTCTCAAAGGATTCTTAGCAATGGATACGGATAGTGCTGAAATTGTGAACGGACCGCCCGCGACCATCGAAAATTTTGAATTTTTATCCGATGATTGAGCCCGTCCGAGCCCGAATTTTCGGGCTGCCCAACCCGACCCGACCTGAGGAACATCATGGACGGGTTCGGGTAGCTTTTGGCTGCCCGAGCCCGGTCGGGCAGTTCGAGCCAGCCCGAGTTGCATGTATATAAATGATTTTTAAGTTATTTATTGTAAAAATTATACAAAAATTATAAGGGAGATTGCAATTTGAAATTTGAAATGAACACAAACAATATAAAACAATTATTAATTTTTAAATTTGTAATTCATGATGGTCTCGTTAAAAACCTTACCAAGAAAAACTCAATTGGGATAAAAACTTGGTAAGGAAAAAAAAGTGCAATCATTGTGGGACGAATTATAAATTTGACGAACTTACAAAGTCTATACAAGATTACAATAACACTGGACAAAGTAAATAAATATTTACAAATTACAATAATAGAATTTAATTTGAAGCTGAAGGATCGTCTTGAAAATTAAAAGTTAATCTATTAAATTCATTGATCCATTCTTGGCTTGCCGGTGAAATTGTATCGTGTAAGCATTAGTCGGAACGATCCTAATCCTTAATGCACACCAAAGCTTCAACAATGTCCTGTTGCAATGCGTTTTTACGTTCTTTAAGTATTCGACCGGTCGTACTGAAGGCTTGTTCAGATGAAACAGTGGAGATTGAGATCAAAAAAATATCCATTGTCAGTCGAGGATCAGCCAAGTTAATGCCCGTGCCCTCCACCACTGAACCAAATCAAATATTTCACTATTATCGACAACTAAGCCCTCACTCAGATACGCCATTAACTCGTTGAAGCCGCCGCTGTTGCCGCCACCTCACCACCATAACTAGAAGAATCCATTATGAAAAATAAGAGAGATTGAGAGGGCTTTGAGAGAGATTAAGAGAGATCGAGATAGATTTGAGCGAGATTAAGGGAGATTTGAGAGAGATTAAGAGAGATTTAGAGAAATTAAGAGAGGATGAGACTTTTGGGGGGAGGGGGGGTATTTATAGGATATTTTTTGGCTTGAAAAATAAATTTTTTTCCCTCAAATTTTTTGTTCCAACGGTAACACACATTCGGGTCGGGTCGGGTCAGGTCCGGGCATATCGGCCAACGGTATAAAAAGATCCGTTGGGGTCGGGCGGCGGGTCAAGTCGGGCAAAATAGAGTCGTTGCATTCAAAATTTAGGCTACCGGTCACAAAGAATTCGGGTCGGGTCGAGCACAAATTTAATAAAACTAGCCATTTTTTAGGTTTTCGGGCAATGGGTCGGGCTTCGGGTTACGCTGGAAAATTCAAAATAAATTCCGGCTGACGGCGGTCACGGCTTCTCCACCGGTGGCGGACTGCCAGGGTTGGTTTTTCCTCGGGCTGCCCAAACCCGAGCCCAGTAAAAATGTGTAGATAGACGGCGAATAGTGCCTGCCCACCGAGCCCGAAAATTTTTGAGGTTCAGACAGGCCCACGGCCTGAACTTACAACACTAGATGCGGATAAATTTATGGTCACAGAAAACATTGCCGTTTAGTCACTCTTGAGGATATACGTTATCCTATAAACTTTAGCTTTAACACGTAATCTTTTTGTTCTTTTTTTAGCGAAATATTTTGTACACTAATAAAGGAACTGGAAGACCCACCACAAAGTATACCTAATCCTGATCATCAGAATATATTGATAAACTTTGCGTATTGAATATCTTAATCATCACACATGAATCACAAAAAGGACCCCTTCAGCTTTTAGCCACACAAAAAAAAAAAAAAAGGACCTCTTCTTTTCTCGATATGTTGTTAATCAGAGCTAATATTCTATAGGTTTTACTGTTTAGTGATCGGTGGACTATTAAAAATTAATTCTTGGTAAAATATGTACTATAAAATGGATGGTTGCTCAACCAAAATAAGCATTGGATCCCTTCAGTCTTGCTCTTTTTTTTTTTATCACTTGAAAATTGTTTTAGTGAATTATATTACACTTTTAGTACTGTATTTGAACTTAATTAAAATTTCTAACTTAATTTGTATGTTAACGAACCTTAAAAGTTGAGTTAAGATTTTAACTCTTCCCCGGAGTTGGAATGCTTGATATACTCCAATTAGAGTTAAAAGTTTAATAGGCACTTGAAACTCAAAACTATGTTTTTTTTACTCCATCTTTCATAGTTTTATTCTTAAAACATATATTTCATCCATTTTTATATATACAAAATATCTAAAATTGTTCCTCCATAAATTTTGAGCTATTTATATTATTATTCTTTATACGTGGGAACTTTTCAACCTCTTGAAATTTTAGTGAATTTTAACGTTCAAAACATAAAACAAAAGGATATTTTATTGTTTTGAAATTGGACATTTTATTTATTTATTTATTTTTGATAGAATTTGGACATTTTATTTTATTATTGAGCTGAAGTGGATATCAACTTTTCATATATCTTGACAAATTTAAATTAAAGCTAACGTAGAAGCATTTTTCCGATTCCAAAAAAGAATCATTTTTCCTTCTTTATTTTACTTCCGGAATCCTTAAATTAGCAAAATATGATGAGATGTTTTATTAAAAATGAATTGACAGAGTGTCCTGGTACATCATCATAATAGATATAATATAACTTACTAATATTTTTAGTTTATTTTCCTACTATTTTTATTTTCTTTAGTCTGATTACCACGGGGCAATTCGCATGAGATGTCTACACTATAGTATTTGGAGGCATTACAATGATAATATATGTTATTTAAGTGTGTATACGTATGTATCATTAGAAAAGATTAATTTTTACATATAGTTACTTCTATTAATATATTTTGATTTTTTTAAATTTACTTCATATTAAAAAATCTCTAGATTTGATGATTTAGATGAATTATCCGATTTTATAATTGTAACTTATATTCATATGGAGGATATTAACAATGATGTTTACTTCTACGAGTGAATTCTCTTTTTATTTATAATCTGTGAATGTAAGAATAATATAGAACCACTTTAAATTTTTGTATTCTCTTTTTTTTTTTCAATTTTTTACTTAATTTATATATAGTATAACGCATATCTCATAAAATGTTAGAGAAAGCACAAAAAATTCCATTTCCCACCGTTTTCTCTCTTTGCAAACACCCACATTTATGATCTCAATATTCTCACTCCTTCAGAGTTATTTGTCTCTTCCTCTCTAACCAAAACTTCCTGATCTCTCTCTCTCTCTCTATATATATATATATATAAATTTATATATATATATATATATACACTCTTCTGCTTCGAGAAAATCACTTCTCCAATCAGACAAAAGAAAACAGAGTCGTCCCCAGTCAGTTCCTCTGTGCATTGCTTCTTCGGAAAAACCAAACTTTTATGCAATTCTCCCAAACAAATTTCCCATGTTTACTTTCTGGAAGAGTTTTCATCACCAACTGTTGAGGAAAAAAAGCAGATAAACGAAGAAAGGAAGAAAGATTGCCAATCTCTTCTGCGGTGGTCTCTACGTATTCTGAGGTTTGGAAAATTTCCCACCAAACAAAAACAGCTGAAGAAAGAAAGAAAGGAAAAAAAAAAAAAAAAAAAAGAAAAAAAAAAAAAAAAAAAAAAAAAAAAAAAAAAAAAAAAAAAGGAAGGTAAAATGCCATGTCCAAGTTTTTTTTTTTTTTTTTTTCTCGTTTGTAATTTACGAGATTTGTCTCTTTTATTCAGATTAACTGAAGCTTAGACTAATTCTTCGTTCACAGTTTTTTATTTCGATCAGGTGGTTGATAGCTATTTGCTCCATTGGGTACGCAATTTCTGACGCTGTTGACATAAAACCTTCTCATAAAGTCATACCTCTCTGTTTCTCTTCTCTTCGCTTTTTATTTTCCCGGGAAAGTGACGGAAATGGCGGAAAATCCAAAGCTGGTGAGTATTGGCTTCGTGGGGTTTTCTTATTTATCATTAACTGTTTCATTGAATTTAATTTTTTTTCTTTTTCATTTTGTTTTCAGGAATCAGTTGGTCCTGGCGAGATAAACGGATTAGAAGAAAAATTCATAGCCGAGAAAATCTCTGTTGCGGATCAAATAAACGATTTTCATTACACAGCAGATTCATCTGATAACTTCGTCATTGATATGGGAAGCTTCTCCCATGGCAGCAGCGATAAAGATATTACAACAAGTTCAAGAATCAAAGTTAGTTTTTTTTTTTTTTTTTTTTTTTTTTTTTTTTTTTTTTTTTTTGCGCTCTTTTTTGTAAATATCATCTGGATAATTCTGGTTGTTCTTATCGGGTATTTTTTTTAACCACGCAATTTTCTCTTTAGAATTCTTATATTAGTCATTCTAATAATTATGTCTAAGTCAACTTTAGTTTTTTTAAAAAAAATTTAATTGGTAGTCTGTTAATTAATAATGACGTTCTTTGAAACAGAGGAAATAGCTGGTATGTCTAACACGCAAGTGTAAACAAAGAAAGTCTTTCTCAGGCATTATTACCTGTCATTATTTTTCTAGAAGTAGCATCTATTTCCTCCTTAATGATGTATTAAAATTTAACCTTAGGATTAGCTATCTATACGCCACTCTAGTAAACCAAAACAAAAAAAACAAATGAAATTATTTTTTTCATTTTTTTAGATAACGTTGTGAATATTCTTTTTCATGATGGCAAAGTTGCAGAGAAGCCTTTCCCGGAAAGGATCTCAGCGTGTCCCAGAGAAGAAGATTAATTCTTATACAAATGCTAATGATAGAGACTCCGCAGTTGTTGGGCCGTCACCAAGAGGTTGGTAATTCAAACAAGTTTTTATTTTTTTTAATTTCTTTTTTCCCAAAGTTCTAATTCACACGATTTCTTCTTCATGTTTCCTCAAAAAAATAAAATAAAATAAAATAAAATAAAATAAATAAAATCTTCTTCATTTCGTGAATAAGTTTACGATTATGAAGCATACAACTGTTATTCATTATTTGCTTATTGAAGTAGAAAGTAAAAACAGCAGCAGTAATAGTAATAGTAATAATAATAATAATAATAATAATAAATAATATTGTAATAACAATAAATATTGATAAATTTTGTCCGTTCAATTCAACCTTACGTAGGATCATTTATGATTTTGTCATTTACACAATGGCCCAAATTCCCTCATTAACGGTTAGTCCAGATGTCACTTATGAGAGGTTAATACCGAATTCAACCACAGAATAGAAGATAAAATGTAGAATTGGAATCCACAAATGGGTGTATACCACCCCTTTTTTTTTTTTTTGGTTTTTTTTGTAGTTTACCAACCTGTGTACCAACCTGTGTACCAACTTTACCTTAGATGGGTGACTCGGGAGGATTTGAAATTAAATTAATCATACCAATTTCATACTTACCGAAAAAAAAAATGTACCAATTTTATTTCAACCATTTTCTTTTGCTTTTTTTTTTTAATTTATGGAAATTTTATTATTCAACTTGTTAGTTGAAGTCTTCAGAAAAGAAAAAACTGGTGGTTGGAAATCTGTTAAGCTAAATGACCTTGTACACACGGGTTTTACAATATTTAATTTTGGCAGTGAAGTAAGTACTACAACTGGGTCAACTATAGAACACGGGAGATGAATTTGGAAATTAGATGCGACTTTCCACTAGTTGAGTAGAAAAAACAGATGGCTCAATATCTTTGCCCTTTTGTTGGTATTTTCCAATGTCATGATTGGTGGCGATGCATATTATTGGAGCTTCGATTATGATATTCTAGTTGAACCGTCAATTCTTTTTTCTTTTTCTTTTTTTTTTAAATTGTTAATAGGCAAAATGGAGGTTACGGAATTATTTATTCTGCTGCTGCTCTTTTGTAGGGTCATGCACGCCAGAAAAGCCCTCGATGGTGGCAGTAGGGACCATCGATAATTCGAGTAGCCCACAAGTCCATCATCAGATCACCATCACAGCCGGCAACATCACCCCCGCCACTGATGGCAGATCGATCAGATCGGTTCTTCGAAGAAACAGCTTCAAGCACTCTTCTTTTTGGGTCCTTGATCCCAAGAAGATCCTTTTCTTATTTGCCACCTTGTAAGATTACCATCCTCTTCCATACACTTTGTACAGTTCTAAAATTGATAACATGTCATACTCATTAGAAAACAACATGCCAAACCTCAGAATATTGCTTTTTAATTGTTCAGTTATTTTGACTAATAAAAAAAGTGTTGTATTTTTTGGACAACAGGTCAAGCATGGGAACAATCTTGCTGATATATTTAACCCTTTCAATCAGCAAGTACAGTACTGATGAAAATGGTCTTGATTGGCATCAGCAGTAATACATGGTTAGTTTTACGCTATCCGAGTGGAATTTCTTTACACAAAACCAACAAGAAAGGATCAAACTCTTTGGTAAAAGGGGTTCCTTAAACGAATCGGCCGATTATGAGGCGCACTTTGTGAGAGAAAGCAGACAGGAAGATACATAAAAGAGGAATGAATGAACTTGATTTGGATCGAAGAACCTAACCCCAAACCCCCTTTCTTTGTTTTTTTTTTTTTTCCAAGGCCCCTTAATACAAAATTATTGTAGAAATGAAGACAAGGACACATTGCTCTGTGACAAAGAAAAGGAATCTTCTTTATGATGTGTTGTGTCCTCTTTTTGTAAAGATTTGGTGGCTCTACCGAGTTGAATGGAATATCGGTGGAAGATCAGAAAGTTAAGTACACTTTTGCACTCTTTTTTTCTTTCCCCATACTTTTCAATTTCGCCAGTTTCTTTTGGCAAAAATCCGAGTTCAAGCAACCCTTTTTGTTGTATGTGGCTTCCATGTGGGATTGGGCAGGCGAGGGAAACATCAAACAACCTTGAGATTGCGTAGCAATAAAGTATTCATGTATGCACGCGCACTGTGAAGCTTTTACTTTAAGCAAATATATATATTTATATATGTGTGCGCGCACGCGCCTATATATACACACATATAATATATGTATGTATGTATGTATGTATATTTTAGTCTTGTGGCCTTGTGGGAAGTGGATTGGTAAGACAAAGCATGCTTGTCCGTTTATCAAAGACCCTGTGCAGAATTTCATAGACCATGTTTGTGGGATCTCTGCAAAAATCAGGAATCATAAAAGGTTTGGCAGATGGAATTTTAGTTTTGAAGGAGGTTGAGCAATTCACTGTATGTGAATCCCAAATGTTAGATCTAGATGAATATCTGTACACAACATATTAACATAAAAAGAAACAAAAATAAAATAAAATAAAATAAAAAGTCTTAAGAAATCCTTTATTAATTTGTTCCTCATGGTATCTCTTGTTCTGTCTAGTGATTGTTTAATTAATTATTAACCTGCACTAACAAGGAATCGCTTTTTTAAATTTACCCCTTGATAGGGATCGCTACCACTGATTCTTTAAGGTCTGTCTTTTTTTTTTTTGTCATTTGTTTTTAGTCCTGATGCTTATACCATCATTTCTGATATGGCATCGCATTCGGACTTCGAGACACAAAGAAGCACCCGCCACAATAAAATATGAGAATCCCTCAGAATTAAAACAATGAAACAATATGATAATTCCAAAGCACATTAGTTAGAATCAGTTCAATGACATATGCAAATCAAACCAATCGGAACAACTTGTTTTATTCTATTTTATTAAAAGGGTCCTACTTATATGCTAGTAATTAAATAGCAAACTAGAACTAAAAGGAAGATTCCTAAGAAAGTGGGGTTGGATTTGGACAGATTTAGAAACAACATCAAGTCAGGCTATATAATTTCAACTAATTGTCTGTCTGTCCAACTTTGTGTGGACGTGTTTGTGTTTCTACCTTCACTTCGAAAGAGTAAAACCACCTGCTGATGGTGGCTCCGATGTCTTTCTGCTGCGTCCAGGTGTCATGCCAGACAGACACTTAACACAAATAGCATCATTTGTGGCGTCAATCGACCATCAATAAGATAATATTGAAATTTTGGCAGTGTTGAGAGACAGATTTGCGGAAACAATGAATCTGGGGTTATGGAGATCCTTGTGAGGCACCACATAAGATGAGAAATAATATGAGAATGATCCCTGATGAATAAAATATGATAGATGCTCTGTAAGTATTTGGATGCTCCATTAGAAGTGCTTCTGAGAAGCCGCTTTTGGTTTCTTGAGATCAAAAGTTACTGTGTTTGATGCTCTGTTAAAAGTTAGCTCCGTAGAAGAGCTTCCAATAAAGTCACAAAATGTGCCATCTCGAAAAAGCACTTTTAAATAGATTTTGAAAATTGTATCAGAGTTTAAATAAGATATTATAAACTTCAATCTAACATTTTTACTGTTTATTAGAAAATTTAAAATCTATTGACTCATTTTATGGTTCCAAACGCTTATTGACACAACTTTTGTTTCTATTCCTTTATTGACCAAAAGCAAAAGCTCTGCAAATGGACCGATATATACCCTCCCAAAACCTGTAACAAATCCTAATGCTGCCTGCATACTAGAAATGTTACGCTACGTTATAGCTAGCCTTTTCTTATATCGTGTATCTGCTAAACTACAGTAAACTCAAATTCAGTTTCTCTACCCACTATATGTCTATATCACTTGGTAAACAAAAGTTGACAGAAATGTTATTTCTCACTATTAGTCAATTAACTCTCATATGACATTTGAAATACACTTCCTTCATTCTTACGATCAAAATTTTGATTAATTCAACTCACCAGGCGAGAAAAGTTATTGGGACTGTTTGGTATGCTGTTTTTTCAGTTAATTGTTCTTTTCATGCTAAACTATATGCACTATATGTCTATATCACTTGGCAAACAAAAGTTGATAGAAAAGTTATTTCTCACTATTAGTCAATTAACTCTCATAAGACATTTGAAATACACTTTCTTCATTCTTATGATCAAAATTTTGATTAATTCAACTCACCAGGCGAAAAAAGTTATTGGAACTGTTTAGTATGCCGTAATCTTCAGTTAATAGTTCTTTTCATGCTAAACTATATGCTGTAATCTTCAGTTAATAGTTCTTGTCATGCTAAACTATCTAAAAGAATTTTCCCCAAAAATTACTTTTTGGTTTAAATTTTTGTGTTCCTGCTGACATAGTTTTCAAAGTGGAATGAAAATAACATCTTGGGGTAAAAATAAGTCTTTTCACTAACGTTCTTGAATTAGGTGAGGCTGTCCTTCAAGAACAAGGAAACTGTAGAGATCAATATTCTTCTGCTATACGCTTGCTATTCAAACACACGAGAGACAAGCAAAGAAGAAATCATGAACTAAATCTAACATTGCGTCTAACAACAGAGATAATGAAGGACTTCACTATGCAGGAGGTTAAATGCATCATTACTTTCTCATTTATATAAAACCTATACCAAAATGCAGACAGTCATCACTAAACACTCTCTTGGCGTTTCTGTTTCAGCACAATGATTTAGCAATCCTAATCCTAATACATATAAATTGATCCACAACTTCAATTCACTCAGTTAGGACTCATATCAAGGAAGCATTTCCTCCTCCCTAGAAAAATCCTATTCACTAGTGGGCTAAATAATTCAACGTTAAGCACATCAAACAATTGATAACAGGGTATTCGTAGAAGAAAATATCATATACACACAAGCATACTGAACAGTACGTGAGATGCATAACTAACAGTAAACAAATGCATAGCAAATTACTACCTCTTAAAATTGCTTAAAAGTTAGTTATTAGCTTTTGGTTGTCTGGAAATTATAGTTGTTTGGATGTCTCACATCTTGTGGTCCAACACGAGATCGACTCTTGACCGTTCACCCAATGTAAACATCTGCATGATGATTTAAGATAATGACTCGCCATCTTCAGTAACGCTTTGAGATTCTTGGCATCGAGCATCTGTGCTTCCTATCCTGATAAAGCCTCAATATAACAGCTGATGTTTCTTCTATTGCTTTCCCTGTTACTTCTGTAATAAAAGAATGTCAATCTACACCATGGCCATAATAATAATTCTAGATTTCTAACCCCGCTCTCTTACTCGGTTCTTCGAACTAATAAGTTCGAAATAAAAGAATTTCACTTCAGAACTCCAAAGTGAAGAACAAAAAAGATAGCAATGAAAACTAAATTGAAACATGTACCACATATAAGACTTCCTACAAATGGAAAAGAGTAATATATCAGAGTTGTAAGCCATTCTTACCGATTACTGGCCAGACGGGATTTTGTGCAAAAACCCTGCGTGCAAATTCCAGCTCCTCTCGAACATAATCCATCTCTGAGTAATTACTCCTCACTTCTTCAGTAAACCCCAGACTCTTAGCCCTTGCTCTTCTGATCGTTTGCAAAACTACCGGACTTATAGTCAAACCAAAAACCTTCTCCGGGTCAACCTGAAAGAGCATCTTCGGCAATTCAACCCCCATAACAATCGGCACATTCGCCACTTTGTACCCTTTCTGCGCTAGATAAATCGACAACGGTGTCTTCCCAGTGCGAGACACCCCAGCGAGAATAATGTCAGCTTTGTTAAGGTTCTGAGGCAATGCCCCATCGTCTTGCTTGATGGTGAATTCGATGGCTTCAATCCGACGGAAGTAATCATCAGAAAGTGGGAAACTCCTGCCGGGAGCACCACGGGGCAGGCCAGATGGTGAGACACCTAAATGAGAAGCAATCGCCTCCGTGATTGGGCCCAGTATGTCAGTTGATGGTATGCCCCACAACTTGCACGCTTGCCTGGCGGATTCTGCCATGGAAGGATCAGCTAAAGTGTAGGCCACCATAGCACCCTCTTTGGCTGCTTGCTTAACAATCTCCATTAACCTCTCTACATCATCGATCTAACATTTTTTTTTGGTGGGATAATTTTCGTCATTAACTTTGAAAATGAAAACAAAAAACGGAACTTTGGATATTCATCTCAATTTCAGCACAATTCCGACTCAAATTTTTACTAAAATTAGCAAACGAAATCGTTTCATAAACAAAAATTTGATAAAATTAACAATGTTATTGATTCAACCATTACAAAAATTAGGTCTTTTATATGCAAAGTTCTTTAAAAAAAGACGTAGAGGATTGCTTATTCAATGAAAAAGCTTACACCGGAAAACATGTGTGTGTGTACGGGACAGCCACGATCAACCAAGCAATGCTCGAACTGCCCTAACGCCGCGTTAACGGAGTGCTCCGCCGTCCATCCAGTTCCGTCAGAAACCATGTATATCGACTTCGCCGCCGTCGCAGCCGCGTCGGACTCTCCGTCGCTTCCCGTGGCGTTGTTTGGCTCTGTATCGGCGGTCTTCTTGACCGGAATTTGCCGGTCCACTTCGGCCACGCTGGACCGGAGACCCGGGCGGTCCAATTTTCGACCGGAGCGTAGCGCGCGAGCCCTCGACCATCGCTTCAGCTGAGGGCTGCCGCTGCCCTTGAGCTTCCAAGCCTGAGGCTCGGAGTCAGGTTCGTAGGGGGCTTCGGCTTTGGTTTGGAGAGAGATGGCGGAGGGGCTTGGATACTTGGGTTTAGACTCGGGGACGCTCGGCGGGTGCGAGGAACCTAGGCTCGGGAGGTTCAAGCTGGAAGAAGCAAACATTTCTTTCTTTTTTCCCCAAAAAACTGCTTATTTTATTCTTTTTATTTATTTATTTATTTATTTTGTGTTTGCTTGTAATTCTTTTCGCTAGTTTTTTTTTTTTTTTTTTTTTGAGTGAATTCTTTTTGCTAGTTTAATTTGCGGGAAATGGATATAAAGGAACTCACCTTTTTTTTTTTTTTTTACAATTTCTGTAATTAAAGTGGCCACGAAAATAAATAAATAAAATATGATCCCTTAGTTAGATTGTCCCAATCATATCGCATGAAAGGCCATTGTGCGAGTGAAATTAGGGTGTTTATTAAATCCGTCAAATCATTTAGGCTTAGTGTTGAAAGAACAAGCAGATGTTATAAAAAGTAACTGAGTGTTTGATAAACTGTAATTATAGTAGCTGTGTTGGTTTCAAAATCAGTGTAATAGTATTTGGTAAATTTTGAAATTGAATTGTTGTGGATATGTAAAATGACCAAAATAGACATAATATGAAACTTAAATATATATAATTATTTTTAGTATTTAAAAATACTTGTTTAACTTTTAAAAAAAACATAATGCTATGATTATGAATTTTTTAATAATAAATTTATGATAATTAATTCTTTTTTTTTTTTTCATTTCTTCATTCACAATATAATTACAACTAAAATGAACATTAGTGACAATTACTCAGGGACAGTTGCAGTCTTCGAGTTATGAAATTTTTTTGTGCTCTCTCTCTCTCTCTCTTACAAAGCTTGACAGAGACAATTGCGGTCTTAATAATGCAACCAAATACTATAATTATTAATTTTGGTAGGGTTCTTTTAAAAAATTTGTAAGAAAATTTTAATATATCAAGACCATCTCCAATGCTACTGTTGATACCAATATTGATTCTATTTTGAGCTCACATATGTAATGTCATTTCAAAAAGAAAAGTTTTCAAATACAATAATAATTTAATAACTACAGAAGAATCAAAAGCAACCGCCTATAGTTGTCTAATTTGCCAAATGTTGTGTGACACTAATATTTGTATATGCATCAACCGACAACATATAGGCAAAAACAAATACAATTCTCAAATCTATACATACAAAACTTGGACAACCCATGATGGCTGGTCATATTTTTTATACACCACTTTGGCGAGCTCTCTCTATGCATTTGATGATTTGGGTTTTGTTGACAAAAAGTCAACGTTGCTTTGGAAGCAGTTTTAACACCTTGATTAGCTCATAAGTGCGTGTGTCACGACTATAATATAGGCAGAGATTAAGAGGGGTCAAACCATCCTGCACCCAGTAGGAAATTAAAGTCGATTATTTCTTTGTTTTAACATGATATGATATATAAAAGAAGGAATTTACTATATATATCACTATCTCCACCAGAAGGACTTCCAACATTTGAGTTATGCAAGTTATGATAAACTTCTGAATTTCAAAAGAAATATGAAAACTTATACTTTTGAATGATATACTGGCGAACTTTGAATGTTCACAATGCCGGCATAGTGCCGAGTTAATTTGTTGCTAATGAAAGGCGTGAACAAAGTTACTGAAGCACGGACAATCAAAAGGAAACAGACCATCTTACCTTATTTTTTAAGGTCTTATCAGCTCCTTTGATCAATAAAAGCTTAATGACGTCTATTCTTTGAGCTTGAACAGCGAGATGTAACGGTGTCCAACCATCCTGCAAGGATAAACAAAATGGAAATATCTCTTATAAGATCATTGAGATGGCACCAAAAGGCTTAGCAACAACAAGGACTTATCAACTTACATTATCTGGAAGGTTCATATCAACATTATACAAGAGGAGAATTTTAATTGCTTAAATGGAAGCTGTTCGGACCGCATAATGCATCAAGGTTGCCCCATCCTGTTTCCAACAAACAGAAAACAGAAATAAACAAATTACAAGATGTGAAGGCCATAATATTGAACCCAAACTGTTTAAACAAAGAAGAAAAGATTGCAACCACAAGCCATGAACAGGGTCAACAAGAAATAAAAAAGGTTCCAACAAGGCAGGTTATTCATTTTTCATGCTTATAACACTATAAGCAGAACTGAAAAAATAAATAAAAATAAAAATAAAAATCTTCAATCTTCCATGCTAAACGAAATAGTCACTTAAAGCAAATATCCAAGCAATTAAAAAGATAAACAAACAACTCAGGGGGCTCTATATCTAACTCCGAATGTATTCTTGGATCGCTTTGCATGCATAGGCTTCCGTTTAGCATAATCAAACTTGATACTTAGAAAATATGTTTTAACTATAAAGTACTGATTTAATATAACAATTACTAATAGAATTAGCTAAACAGTTAAGAAATGGCATTTAACAAGATGAAGTGAAGGTGAGTAGCATATACTCACTTTATTACAAACAAATGGATTTGCTTATTCCCTCAAAAGATAGTTAGTAATCGCCTGCTTTTTGCCAATTATTGCTTTGTGAATAGCTGTACAACCATCCTGGCATATAGTAAACCGAAAGCCAAAATGACGAAAGAATCGAAACATGCAACAATTTTCCAAATTTAATTTGCCATTAGAAGGCAGTTCATTTGACATACCTTATCCACAGCATTGATATCAACATTATGCTTCAACAGGGTATCAACAAGGTAAAAAGCTCCTGATGCAGCTAGAGGGTGAAGAGGCAGCCATTTATCATGCAAACGTTTTCTTCATGATTTACATGCGCGGAGTTGTTGCTTTAAAGAAAATTAATCACCAGACTAATATCTGAAAGATGTAACTTTTAAAGTATTCATTTCTCTAAGGAATCCCCTAGTCAAGATAAAATAAATAGCAACTTTAAAAGAAGTGCAATAAACAATAAACAAGTAAAATGGGATGGTAATGGAACATGCAAGACTTATAGAGGTAGCAGTTACCAGATCAAATATTCGTTTATTTAGCATAACCTTTTCCTCCTTCGAAAACAACTTCCTTGGCCCTATTAAATTAAAAAAGAAAAAATAAAAACTTGAATTTTTTTTATACTTATACCAACCACTACTTATAAAAATAAAAATAACAAAAAAAAATCATACAATCCATATTGCACATATAAAAAAAAAAAAAACGGTCTTTAAGGAAAAAAAATCGCAACATGAAATAGATGTCAAATATTAAAACTAAATTTCTAGCCCCAATTGAAAATAAAATTTTAAAAAAAAATCTTTTGCTTATTAGAATTAAGAATTGGGAAAGATGAAAATTGTAAAATTATACAAAAGAGGGAAATTTAAACACATATAACATATATTGCTTATCCCTAGAGTTGGGGAAAATGGAGAGAGAGAGAGAGAGATTACCTCCGGCTTTTCTCTCAGCAGGATCATAATTCCCACCATTGAAGAACTCCGTAACATGATCGAAACCCTTTTCCGTACACCGCCCACCTCGGATTCCTAGGGCTCACTCGGCCACTCGAAGAAACCCCCACTTTTCTTTGAAGTTTTTGTTTTGGGAAGAGAGAATTAGAGAAAGAAGATCCCGAATTAAATTTTCCCATCCAACTTTATCTAAATGAGTTCCAAGACGGCGTCCAGCTTCAACCTTTATAATACACAAATTACAAAATAAATACACAATTTCGGAGTCTCATATTGCTTTACATTGTGGTATACTACCCTTCATTTGAGAATTGATAACTGAAAGTCTAAAACAATGTGAGGCTTCTTGCTTTAATTTACAAAAATAATAATAAGGGTAATACTAACCTTATTTTCAATTCGAACACTCAATCAATAGCCAAGCTAATCATAGCTTCTACTCGTAGATACTTCACCTAAATATTGCTAATCAAGAATAGAATGCTAATTTGATTTACAACAATTGTACCTAATGATCACTTTCTCTTAATTCTTATTCATGAACGGCATCCAAAAACACAACTTTGGGCCGAGAAAAACTAAAAGGCCGCGGGTTAAACTTCGATAGTGAAAGGTACATCTAAATATAAACTCAAATTTTGACTCACTCACACACAAACTCGAATAGATTTTTAATTCAAACCATAACTCAAAATGTGTACATCCAAACACAAACTCAAATTAAAATTTCAACTCAAACCGTACTCAAATACATATTAACTCAAATCAAGATCTGAACTCAAGTCATTCTAACTCAAAAAATAAAAATGAACAGACCCTAAATCTGTCTAAAATTTAACAGACATTTTTAATTGGACTAGCCATACAACAAATTCTAAAATTTAAAGACTCGATTCCACAACTTTTTAATTTAAGGACCAATCTACTCAACACGCAAAGCTAAGGGGTTCCATACAAAATGTCGCATACAATATTGCCTAGAAAAAACGGTGTCGCGTGAATTATAATTTCCTTGTCCTTTCAAAAAAATAAGAATAATAATTGCCTTGTAAATACGATGTCGAATGAGGAAATCGCTGTCGTACAAAAGCCATGACCTAAATGGCTACATGATGTCGTAAATCATTGTCGTTGGAAATGATGATGCCGTATGAGAGCAATGCCACATGGAAAAGGATGCCGTATACTGATTAATGTCGTATAAAGAAGTATTAATGTCGCCTGGAAATGAATAGTCATTTGAGAGATGATGTTGTATGCAAAACCCATTGTCGTTTTGAGTTTTGACCAGATATTCAACTCGGTGGTTTTTGGGACCTGGATGCAGAAAGGAGATCACGGCATCACGCACTTTTTTTGTTTCATCATCCGTATCTCTATGCAGCGTGACTATTTGAAAGACAAAAAATTATTGCTAAAATCCATGAAATTGATGTTTTGAACCAAAACTTTAAAATGCACAATATTTTTTATACTCAAACTCACATCTCTTATCTGACAAAAAACAAAAAAAAACAAAAAATCTTTTAATTATACAACCAAAGGTGATTTCCGATTTTATTCCTTCTCAAACCACACTTCAATTGATATTCAAACATCATTTAGACTACAAGTTCAAACTACTATTTTCAAACTTTTCATTTTAAACAAGAAAAAAAATTTCAAACCACTATATTTAGAACCTATTTATCAAACAGACCTCCTTCGGTATAGAACCACCCATGAAATACAAATAATGAGGGCCCATTTAGTTCACTGATTCGAGTTTTTAATTAGAATTGAGATGTGACTTTATGTGAGAGTTTTTTTACTGTAGCAAAAAAGTTAGATGTGACTGTTTCTGAGAGCTTTTTACTGTAACAAAACTCGAATTCTAAACTCAAATAGGTGAAATGAACGGGCTTGAAACTCTCACTTTGGCAACTTTGTTTTAGGCTTTTAAGTTTTAACAAATTATAAATAATCTAAAGTAGAGTTGGGGTTGATTGTTCACGCAAACTCAGGCTTCGTTCATTTCACCGATTCGAGTTTTCAGTTTTAGGTTTCTACAGTAAAAAATTCTCAAAAAATGTCACATCTAATTTTTTCTGCTACAGTGAAAAGCTCTCAGAAAATATTACATCTCAGTTCGAATTGAAAACTCGAATCCGCGAAGCGAGCGAAGTGAACGAGGCCTCAGTTTACTGTTCTTTCTACAGTGAAATGACGATTTTGCCCTCGATTTACTGTTCCCTCCTTCTCCTGGTGCAAGGGCGTTTTGGTCTTTCGGTGGCTTTTTGGTAATTTTGCATCCCCTGCAACTCTTATTTCCTTTCCCCCTCGATTCTCTCATCTTCTCCGCCCCCTTCATTTGGTTTTGCTCTTATTCTTTGCTTTCCCCCGTTTATAGTAATGGGCTTTTAGGTCCTTTCATTGTTTGGCTTGCCTCTGTGCCCTTTTGCCCTTGGATTTCTCTCCCTTCCGCCGCTTCTTCTCCATTGTTTCCTTCGTTTTGTTCTTGCTCTTTCCCTTTCTTTCTTTTCCATTTTGCCTTTGATTCGTTCCTTCACTTTTGTTTTGCTGCAGATCTCGCATTTGTTGCTTTGTGCCTTCGTGTGTGTGGATTGTTCGTTGTGATCTTGGCAGAAATCTTGCCAGTTTATCCCTTTTTTCTTTTGGATTCCTTTAGTGGTTGGATTTGGGATTTTTTTCCCGCTTTATGTTGTTCTCATTGCCGCAGACTCGCTGATTCTTTTTTCCTATTTTTGTGCTGGATTCAACGGCCATTTTGGTTTTGGTTTTTATGTGTTCATTTCATAGTTTTTCTTTTCCTTCCTTTCCCGTTGTTTTGCTTCCTTCACGTCTTTTTTTTGTCTTCCTTCGCTTTTTTTTTTTAATAATTTTTTGGCGATTCATATGCATTGTGATTTTCTGTTGAGTAATAGCTTCGATTGTGTAATGATACTTTTTAGAAAATTTTTCTTCTTCATTATTGCCGTTTCTTATTTGAGCTTTGTTTGGTTGATGTTTTCGGTGTAGGTATTTTTAATTAGCCTTTGCTCCTTCTTTTCTCTTTTGATTATGGATTTTGGTTGGGATTTTTATTGTTTTGGCGCACGTTTCTGAAACATGCAAAAAATCTGAAAAAAAAAAGAGTAATGGATATTGATTTATTGGTAGTAATTTATAACATTTAAGATGATGGTTTGTATTCTTAGGTTAATAATTTTCCCTTATTTTGGTTTTTTAGATGTTTTTGGTGGAGGTTTGTTATTACGGATTTTGTTTGGGATTTTTATGCAATTTTGCCGGTGTGTATATGTATTTTTTTCCCTGTCTCTCTTAAATTGTCGTCAGTTTTTTTTTCCCCTTTGCTTTTTTCCCTTCTCCTTCTTCTATTTCTTCTTCTTCTTCTTCTTTTGTTGATCTCCTTTTGCTACTTTTTTGTTGTTTTGATTTGGGACTTTGGTTGGCTTTTTTCTGTGTTGCGGTAGTACGTATTTTGGGTTCCATGCAATTTTTCTCCTTCTTCAAAAAAAAAAAAACAAAAAGAAACACAGAGAAGATAGAGAGCGAGCATTTTCTCACTGTTGGTGATTTATTTTCTGTTATGGTTGGTCTACTAATATTTTTTTAATTGCTTAAAATCTATTGCTATTTTTTGTTTTGGATATTTTTTTTTCTTTTACTGATGATTCTCGAATCTTCTTTGAGTGTTTTCTTCCTTTTAATAGCTCACTCATTTGCCCAGAAAGAGATCTATGCCGTGGTTGATTTCTATAGGTAAACGTCATATTTTTTCTCTGCTCTATGGATCTTCCTATTTGCTGATTGTGTATCCGACTTCTGCTTAAATTAATCTCTTTTGCATTTATTGATTTTACTGATCTATATTGATGATATGTAATGCCTATGATACTCATTTGTACTTCTATGTTGATCTGTGTCATTTTTTTTTAAAGAAGCATTAAATGATTTGGGGATTTTTTTTTTTTTTTTTTCTAATCTATGTTGATGATCTGTAATGCCTAGAATACTCATTTATACTTCTATCTTGATCTGTGTCATTTTTTTTTACAGAAGCATTAAATGATTTGGGGATTTTTTCTTCTTTTTGTTGTCGGAATATGTACAAATTTGCCGAAAAGATGCATCTTTTTTTATCGTCTCTCTCTTTTTTTCATCTATTTTCTTTTTCTCTGTACTAAATATTGTTTGGGGTTTTTTCTTTTTCCTCCGTTTTTTTCTTTTTTCTTTTTTTCTTATGATTTTCTTTTTTTCTTCCTTTTTTTTTTGGCTCTTTTGCCGCTTTTTAATCCCATGCCATTTCTATCATTTTCTTTAATCAAAGAAATTTTTTTCTTTGCAGCTTTCGTGCACACCGACTTCCAACTATTACGTGTGGCATTGTTATTGGTTATCTTGCTCTTTATATATGCAAAATGTTGTTGCTGTATATTAATTTGTTGCTTAAATTATCTCCTGTTTGCTCTTCCACACCTAAGATTTATCCTTTTCTGCTCCATCGTTGATCATTTATTGCTCTACTTTACCTTGGCCTATTTACTGCCCCATCGTCTTATTCCTATCTCTTTGAGTTTTATTTGGTTGGCTGATATTGGTTATTTAAGGCACAACTCACAATATTTCAGGTATTAATAATGATTTTTGTCCAAATACTCTTAATATTTGTTGTTGATACTGAATATATTGTTTTGTTGTATTGCTGTCAATCTATGTTGTTTTTTATAGTGTTTAGAAACATTTATTCCTTTTCATTGTCAATAAATCTTAGTGGTATATGATTATCTTTTTCTGTGTTCTTTATTCGTCTTACAGTGGTGTATATATTAGTTTGTATTTCCACTTAACATCTGTTATCCTTAATTGGTTTCAACATATGGCAGTGATTCTTACAATCTATTTTTACACATTTGTTGCCATGTAATTTGTTCAGAAATTATGATCAATGTATTTGTGGTCATCTAGATCTTTATTTTAGAATATGATATTGTCTATAATTGTTGATTACAACTGTCTTGATATCTTATTTTTTCTCCCTTTTTACTTGCTCTAACATTTTTGGCTTTTTGGTTGTTTGGTCTCATCTTGGCCTACTTACTACTCAGTCTTTTAAGCTGTCTCTGTTTCATCTGTGTTTCGTTGGCTCATATTCCCTGTTTAAGGCAATATTCATAGCATTACAGGTACTTTTTCTAACTATTGCCCATATCTTCTATCCGTTATTAATTTTGGATATATTGTGTATTGCTTTGTGTTGTTGACTATAATATTCAAAAAAAATTCCTTTCTTTTCTCATGATTGCCCTTTTGTTGTGTCTTATTTTTATTTTCTATTCATATCTAAACAATATTTTACAATTTCAGCCCTCGCTAAAAAACAACAACATCAATTCATCCACGGACACCATACCCAAAAAATCAAACACAAGATAACACACACACACACATATATATATATATATTAATTTACATTATTCATCAGTAAAACATAATGTATATAACTTTTACATATCTTAATAACCTTCTATTGTTTCAGTTCTCAACCAAAGGAAACAAGACAATCTAGAAAACGCCCACAAATGAACTAGGTAATGTAACTACTTCTAACTCAAAACATTTTCAATTTCCTTAATTAACAATACTGATTTTTTCAAAATTTATATTTTGCAGCTAAAAAAAACAGGATAAGGAGCATGGATACAACCTCAAACACATTGTAAATAACTCTTTGTACAAATATTTTAGACATATGTAAATAACTCTTTGTAAAAATATTTTACAGACATATGTACATAACTCTTTGTAAAAATATTTTACAGACATATCCATATATAAATGTACTATAAAAATTATCAACCTTTTTTCTAATTCAGAATTAATACGCGCTGCAATGCGCGCGTGCTCGGCTAGTCTAAATCTAAACGATAAAAGAAGAGAGGAAAACTGCAGTGTGGCTGAGAAGAATAAGAAGGAAAAACATTCACAATGTTACTTTTGAAAACGAAAAAGGTAAATGTCTCAATATTAGTGGCTACTTTAAAACTATCTATAATGAGATATTTAACCTTCCTGCCATGGCTTTTCCATGTTGATTGACTTTTGCCACAGTACCTAAAATTATTACAAAAAACATAACAATCACATTTATGCATTGACTAAAATTTAGGCAATATGCTAGAATGACTATCCAACAAAGTGAAATTAGCAAAATGACATTCTTCTATTTTCCATAGCTAAATTAGAGTTTTTTTTGTTTCATTCTCTCTGTTTTCTTTTTCTCTCTCACTCCCACCTGCGCCGCTCTCTCTCTCGCGAGTCTCCCACCCCCGCATTTCTCTCTCTCTAGCTCTCTATCTCTCACGCTAGAAGAAGCATAGCTACGTAGATCTTCTCCGGCGGCGCGGATCTTCTCCTCACGGCGGTGCCGATCTTCTCCTCATAGAGACGGAAGGACGCGGATCAAGTGGCATAGATCTTCTCCTCGGGTCTGGCGCAGATCCTCTCCTCACGGCGGCGCCGATCTTCTCTTCACAGAGAAGGCAGGCGCGGATCTTCTCCTCACGGCCCGGCGTGGATCTTCTCCCCACGGCGGGACGTTGGTCTTCTCCTCAAGACAACGTTAACAGCGACGGCGCAGATCCGAATCCACCTCTCTCCATCGTTGCAGCGTCAGGCATCTCCTAGCGAGGTGCCACAAGAGTTTGATTAGAAATCGTGGTCTTTTCTCTTAGCATTCTAACAACTCTTTTCGGTTGTGGTCCAATCTTATTAGAAAGTATCTTTTTCAGAACTACTTTGCTTTTGGGCTTGAAAACTATTCTATAGTCATGCTCCAGAAACGTGACATTTGTCGAAACAAATACCCTTTGATTCTTGTGACTATAAAAAATAATCCTTCTCATGTCCCCATTGCATATCCCACAAATATACATATTTCTGATCTTGGTTTTAACTTCTCAGTCTATTGTTTCATCACATGAGCCAGACACCCCCACATGCGAATATGCTTCAAAACTGGCTTTCGGCCATTCCACAACTCTAGGAGTGCCTTTGGTACAGACTTAGATAATACTAGATTCAGAATATACACAGTGGTTCTTAGGGCATAACCCCATAATGAAGTAAGAATCGAAGAATAATTCAACATTGATCTTATCATGTCAAGCAAAGTCTGATTTCTCATTTTGGCTACACCATTCTGCTGTGGTGTACCGGGTGTAGTCAATTGGAATACCACACCTTCTTCAATCAAGAAATTCCAAAACTTTTGGTCTAGGTACTCACCTCCTCGATCTGATCGAAGTATCTTGATTGATTTACTTAACTGTTTTTCAACTTCTGCTCATAATTCTCTAAAATTTTTAAAAGTTTCAGATTTCTGTTGCATTAGGTAAACATAACCATATCTCGAATAATCATCAATAAAAGTGATGAAATATTCGCAATCTCTTGCTTGGACGTTTAACTGTCCAATACATCTCAATGTATCAGCTGAAAAAGTTATGTGGCTCTTTCTCCTTTCGACGTGGAAGGCATCTTGGTCACTTTGCCTCCCAGACAATATTCACAAACTGGAAGCTTACTAACTTTTAGTTCGCGTAAAGGACTATCCTTTACCAGTATTTTAATCTTGTTTAGGTTAATATGACCAAGCCTAAGATGCTATAAATATGTGTTATTATCGTGAGAAATCTTTTACTTCTTATTATTAAGTTCGGCAACTGTTGAACATTTCAACATTACGCAGTGAGCCAGGCATCAGTTTAAACGATATAAACTGTTTTCCAAATATCCAGAACAAATATCAGAACCATTTCGAAAGATGTGGATTAGATTATTATTAAAGACAATTGTTCAAATAATTTGGAATTAGAAATCAAATTTCTCTTTATGCTTGGAGGGAAATAAACATTGTTCACAACAAAGTATTTTCAAAATTGAAGTCTAACTTCTTCCACTGCTTTTGCCGATATCCTCGCGATTTTTTCACTTTCATCGTGTAGTCCCTGACGGCAAGTTCTTTGTAAGAACTAATATTTTGCAAAGAAACTTAAACATGATTAGTTGCTCCCGAATCAACTATTCAGGACGAGGAATCACCCTCTACTAAAGATGTTTCTAGAATTGGTAAATCTTATTTACGTTGATTCTTCTTCTTTGTTTAGGTGGAAACAATTTCCATTTAAGGGCTAAGACTTAATAAAGAAAATGAACATGATTAGTTGTTCTCAAATCTACTATTCAGGATAAGGTATCACCCTTTTACTAAAACATGTTTTTAGAACTAGCAAATCATATTTGCTTGAGTTTCTTTCTTTGTTTCGGAAAATAATTTCTTTGTAAGAGCTGAGACTTAAAGAAAACAAACATGATTAGTTATTCCCGAATCTACTATCCAGGATAAGGTATCACCCTTTTACTAAAACATGTTTTTAGAATTAGTAAATCGTATTTGCTTGAGTTCATTTCTTTGTTTCGATGAAACGACTTTCCTTGTGACAACTAAGACTTAATAAAAATAAATAAACATGAGTAGTAACTCCCGAATCCACTATCCAGGAATAGGAATCACCATTTACTAAACATGTTTTGAGAACTAGCAAATCATATTCGTTTGATTCTTTTCTTTTATTTTGGTGGAAACGATTTTCCTTTTGTCTTTTGGTCAGGGCCCTTACAGTATTTAGCCAAGCCTTTCTTATATGGATTTTCAGATACGGTATCTGATGACTGCATTAACTTATAAGCTGTCTCCATGCCTTCATACTTTTTATGAATTACCACACATAACCCTAGCTAACAGTTAGCTACAATAGTTTCGTTAGGGACAGGAGGACAATCTTCCATTTGGGACAAACTTATATTCATCACATGAATATGAGTTGTTTATGTTACTTTACCACTTCACATAGTTTATCTCTAGGCAGTGTTTTAGTTTTATGTAGTGAGATTATAGGATTTGACATATTGCTGGGAATAAGTAGAATATTCATCTAATCAATTTATGTGCATGAATATCAAAGCATGTGAATTTTGGCACAATTAAATAGGATGCATGATGCACATGAAAAATACATAAATCATGTTTTAATTTTAGGTGCCAACGATAATATAATTTACCACGAATATAGTGTCGCCGTAGGGTAGGTCAAAATATTCACAAATTGAACTGAGACCTTCTCAATTAATAAATATATTTAAAATATCTCATATTTTCATATTTACCAACTACCATTATTTTAGTCAAAAATATAATCAACAATTTGATTATATTTCCATGAGTGTAACTCATCGTTTCAGATTCTACAGACTTAACTCCGGAGTGCTGCCGTAGGATAGGTCAAACCGGAAATACGTCCATAAATCCTATCGCTAGGAAGTTAACCTTGTTATTGATCCGAAAGAACACTTTTCGTAGGGAGTGCGGAATCGGTGCCGCTGCGAAGCCCCTTTCGAATCTCACGGTGTTGAACGAACGGTGGAGACCAGTGGGTCGTATTATCATACAACCCTCTCCCACTCATTAATTTGCAAATATGTATTTTATTTGAAAATCATCTCATGTTTTTCAAATCTCAATAAATAAATAATTTATTTTTCAGATATGTGAAATTCTAAAATTTAACTGTTAAATTCAATTTCACATATAACAATATTTTGTAAATTAATTTTACAATTTAAATCAGTTTAATCATATTAAATCGATTTTAGCGCATGATTTTTATTTTATTTTATTTTTCTAAAACTCTTTTATAATAAATAAAATAAATAATAATAAATGCGCGTGTATGCATGATATGTTATAAAACGTATGAGTAGGCACACTATATCTATATGGCATGTTATATGCATGGACATATAATATATATAATTATAAACATAAAATATAAATATATGCAATCGGCTATTGAGATGGAATTTGACAGGGCCCCATGAAAAATATAAATTACAACCAAATCGAATAAATAAAAAATTACAGTAATTATTTTCTTCCGTTACAACAACGGGTCTTCGATTCTTGAATTCTTCATTCTTTGGCTTCGTTCTTCATCTTCAGGTCAAATTTCACCTTCTTTGGGGTCCAGAACTGTTACGGGTCCATTGGCACGCATTATGAGGGCTTCAGAAACCCTCGGGCCCGTTCGGGGCCCATTGACTGCGTTTGGGGCGCTAGCCGCGCGCGCTGTCTGGGCGCACGCGCGCTGTCTGGGCGCGCTTGTTAGAATTTCTATACTTAACGGAACTCATGATTAAGATCATTCCATATATGACTATCGGTAGATTCAATTAGAATTTCTATACTTAATGGAAATTATTAGAAATTCATATTGTGTATATGTCCATGTTCCACATAATCTCATTATGTGAAATACACTCATTCAATATCTCGCCATATTAACAGTGTGGATAACATCATTTCATTCTAAATGGGAATGACATGTATTAATAATGTTTTAATTAAAGATTCTGAACTTTAATTAAATTCATTATGAACACCATTTATTATTATTATCCTTAAACATTATCCTCTCGTATATAACACTTATATACAACGTTTAAGGTCACATAAATAATCATGAAATTTTCATTGATATTCATAAAATATTCATAAATATATGCACATAAAATAATGAATAAACTCTTTCATTAAATAAATAATAAATATCCTATTACATCTCATGCATCTAGGACACCATTCCTAACACCAATT